CATAAATATATATATAAATAAACAATATATATTAAATTAAAAGTTAATGTTAAAGTAATTATTATTTAACACTAAACATAAGTCTTATTATTTTAGAATCATTGTTATAAGTGAATAAAAAAAAAACATGCATTATCTATAATTCAGTATTAAACATATATTTTACACATATTAAATACTAATGTTGCTACAAGGGTAAGGATAATAATATAATAATAAATAGTTATTTGATAATTTTTTATATTCATTGCGATAATTGATTTAATATTTAATAGAATTTACTAAAAATTATTAACAGAATATATTTATTGTTATAATTCACTTATAACAATAATTATTGTATGATGCATACATTCTTTAATACTATTCTAATAAAATATATTAATACTATAACACATTTACTATAATTAAAAATTATTGAAAATATATGTAATTAATATTTTTATTAATAATAATATATAATATTAAGGAAGAATTTCATAAATGGAAATAGAGAATTCAATATATTTTTTATTTTTTCCATTTTTATAATTATTCTACGCAATTTTTCATTGTAGGTATGATGTGATAATCATTTATACAAGTATATATTTGCTTTTTTGTTAATAGATATCCTATAAAACAAATAATAATATAATATTCTAATATTTTTTTTGTTATTTATCAATAATATATGTATACTTTCTACAGCCTTGAGTTCGTGAAACTTTGGGTAATACATATATAATGAGTGTATGACGAAGAACACTAATGATATGATTTCTTGCTAACAAGGAATATCAGAAAAAATTGAAAAATTGCGCATGTAGGAGAAAATATAAGATAACAAAAAATGGAGAAGATAAATCATCAACTTAAGAAAAAACAAAAAAAAGGTTTTAAAATAATTGAATTCTTATATGCGAAATTATGAAGACTTATGCGCTAAATGGATAGAATTAATGAAGTTATAATATTCATGTGAAAAAAAAATATTTTGTAGAATTCATAAAATTAATAAACCAGGAAAAAATAATAAAAAAATTTAAATAAAAAAATACATTTGAAATATGGATTTGGTTTTCTTAGGACCATATACATATCATTATTTAGTACATTTGCCTCATCTTTCGGCAAGGTTGTTAAAGTTCAAAAGTATTTAATCTCTATTAATCGTATCGAAAATTTTACAATAACATTATCTGTAATTTCTGCGTTATTAACATATACACTTTTGACAATAATTATTTATGCAATGATCAAAATTGTAAAATACGAAAAATTAAATGAGAAGAAAAATAAAATACGTTTTAATGAATATTATACTCTCTTGAAAGATGAGTTTAGTAAATAATAATGTAATATAAATATATAAAATTTCATATATATTAATATGAATACAATTATTATTTTTTTGTTATAGAAACAATATGTTAGTGAATTTAGTATAAATTTAAGGAGCATACATTCTTTATAATTTATTTATATTTAATTATATATATTTATCTTTAAATTATTAGTACTATATAAATTAGTTAGAAAAATGAAATAATTATTATGTTTGCCTTTAAGTTATTATTAAATTATTTTATTTACATATTTATTTAGTGGATATGTCTGTGCCTTTGTGCACAAAATGTATTTAAATATATTTGAACACTTTTAATTATTAAAACCTTTGTTTTTTAAATAAATTTTTTTATAAAAATTATGGATACATGACGAGTATTATATAATTATATTTTTTGAGTTCTTTTATAACCTAACACTACAAAATATATGTATATTTTTAATTAATTTATAGATTATATTTTAATTATATATGTGAATCAATAGGTTATTCTTTTAAGTTATATTTGTTTTAGTGAGATTTTATTAAAAAAAATGAAGTAAATGATTTTTTATTCTAAAAATATATATAATTTAAGGTAAATTCGTTTTTATATACTTATTAATATAATGTACTAAAGTGTTTATTTTAGCTTTAATTATTTATATGTTATTATATAGTATAAATATTAAAAAAAAAGAGATATTCTTTAATGTTTTAACTGTATAAGGTGGCCCCTTTAAACGTGGATTCCAGTATTCATTTTATATTGTAATTAGATAGAGTTATATTAATGTACATGTAAGTTCTTATTTCGTTTACTATAATTATATAATACACATAAGTGAATATTATTAATGAGTTTATGTTCTATGATTGTCTATATATTTAAGACATTATATTAATTAATATTTCATTTCACGCTCTTAAAATATAATAATACCGAATACTTGTACTGTATAAACATTATTGGAAAATTTTATCAACTACCTCATCACTGATGTAAATATGAATTTTTTTTTTCTATAGAACTTATTAATAATTGAGTAACATATACAACTTCAGTTTTATTATGAGTTATTATCTAACATTAGGTGTTTATTATGTAAATTAAGGAAAATTACATGCTACTTTATGTACGATGCTCTCTGAAAATTTGCAGAACAATTAGAATTTGTAGGTACTCGAATTTTATCATTATCATCATAATATAACAATATTTAATTTATTATTTTTTGTGTACACTGTTATGAAAATTAATAAAAAATTAATAGTATGTAATAAACATACAATCCATTTAAAATATAAATATATATTTCAGATATACTTTTATCATACATTCAAAATTTAGTTACACCTTTAACATAGTGTAATGCAATATATTTTTCGTCATAAATTAATCAAATAAATGCAATACACCATTAAATGGAATTATTATTTTAAACAAAAATTAAATTGAATGCACTAATAACAGGGTATATGTTATGTTACTAATTATATCATTTAATAATATACATATACATATTTATATAGTACAAAAATCAAGGCAAATATTATTCCTACGCTAATTTAAGAAATAATCAGAATAAAACATTCAATATTTTAAGAATAATTGACGAAAGTTATAGTCATAAATTCAAACGCAGTATTCATATAATAAAAAATGGTGATATATAAAAAAAAACATATTTAATATATTTCAAAATTATTATATAATTATATTATAACCTACTTTATTTAAAAAATTATATTGAATTTATATATTTATATAATGTAATTAGCATTATTATTAAGGATACACTTTTAATTATTATTTACATGAATGTATTTATATATACTAAAAGATTATGTATTAAATAAATTATGATGAATGATTCTACATTTATATATTTTTTTTCAATGGTATGTCTTATATAAAATTTTTTAAATTAGCACAATAGTAAAAATTTTCGAATTGTTATGAACTAGAAAATGAACATAAATAAAGTGTTGTTGCAACAAAGATTATTGTAATCTAGAGATTATATTTAATATATATACATGATTTACTAATAAATAGTAAAAAATTTTAGACTAATACTTTATTTATACATAAAATTCTTCAATACAAAAAATTAACCCCAATGAAATACAAATATTAGAAAAACAAACATAGTGAGTTTTCATTAATAAATAAAAGTATTGAACACAAATAATTTATATTAATTCTATTTAAAAAAATTCTATTCATATATTCTTATTATTAGTATTATATATTTACTTATACATAATAAAAATTTTTTGCTTTATGTCTGTAGAGTAATTATCGTTTCAGTGACACATGCATATTAATTTAAACCGCGTACATATTTTTCATAAAATAAGAATTATAATTAAAATATATAATTAAGTATTTTCATTTTGTGTTCCTTTATGTTCCTTCTACAAATATGAATTCTTAGATACTTCTAAATTCCTATATATTTTTTTGATGCATTATATATTGCTTATATAATTAGAATTGAAAATGTTATCTATGTATTCTAATTTTAAATTTCGTATATATATATGTGAGATCTCTTTGTAGCACACAAAACAAAGTCTATATTTGTTATATAAAATATAGAATTTTATATATTTGTTTTATATATTTTATAATTATAAAAAAATGCATTATCATATTCCTATAACATCAAATAAACATTTATTCTCACATGTCTTATGTTTTAGTATATATGACATAAATAATATAATAATATTCATCTTAAAAATCCCTAATATAAGGATATATATAAATTGGGGTATTTTTAAAAAAACAAATACGTAAACAAGTAATTTTCTATCATATTATATAAAATAATTCTAATTTTATAAAACACAAAAAAAGGAATATAAATTTGTATAAAAAACAGATAAAATAAATCAAAAATGTTGTATCAAATAAACGAAAGTCTATAATTCTAATATAAGTAAAAATAATAAAATATATATGAAATTATTTATAAATAACTTAAATGTGACATACAATAACATACATATTTTTAGAGAATTCTATATGGATATCATATAAATTTAGCATACATATGCTTACATGTATGATTAACATTAGTATTTAATAACTAGAAATTCATTTTGATTCGTTCTATGTTATATAATATGATATGTTTTTCTAACAATTTATTTGAACTGTATTTAATTATTAGGAATATATGTAATTTCCATATGGATTATCATGTTAGCTAATATTATATATTATTTTTTTATATGTATTGTTGACTTCATATTGTAGAAAAGACATGTTCTTTTAAATAAGCATATATAGTAGCAAAAAAAAAATGAAATACATCTTCTGTATTTTTTGTTCGACATTTATATGCATATTGAATAAGACCTCAAAAATTATATATTATTCTATTTGAATACTTATATCATGTTTACAAAAAAATAATGTTCATTTATTCTTTGTTATATAAAAATAATTATTTTATTTCACATAAATATATCAAAAGTATCATTGTAAATATATATTACAATAATTTGTATATGCTTTATATATAATACTTTCTTATTATTGTATGATAAACAATAAAATTAGTTGGAACTATATAAAATATGATACCTATGGTTTCTAAGAACACAACTGTTTGTTTCATATAATTCTAGGATATTCTTCTCTTTATCTATATTATTATAATGTTTTCTTTTCATCATAGTTGCACATCGAATACTTGGACCATATGGCGTGAACTATCCCATAATTAAAAAAATTAGTATATGCAATGTGCGATTGTTTTTAATTTTTTTTTTTTTATTTAAATTACATAAAAATATATCATTGCCGTATAATCATACACAACTAAATTAATTATTAACCTTGTACATGATAAATAAAAAGGAAGATATTGCTAAAATTACAAAAACTGGAATTAATATAAGCGTTGTTATATTATAGTTTTGAAAGGAAGGTAGAGTTTTGGGGATATCAGATCCACATACTACGTTTATCATTTTTTTATCATATTTTTTTTTTATATTTCTTAATTCATTACAGAAATTGGAGATTTTGTTATATTTGCATGTTTCCATGTGATTTTTATATATTTCACTACAATTTTTGGCGCAACCACAATTATCCTCACATGCATCAGTTTCACTATTTATTTTATCGATTTCCGTGTACATATCATATATATCTTTGAGCTTTGTCTTTTCATCATAAGTAATTATTATATCATTATAATTCATGCATCGTCCATCCTGATGTTCATTATCTGCGTTGATCAATTCATCATAAAGTTTTTTAATATCATCACTATTCTTAGTTTCCCCATCACTATCATATAGCCAATAATACAAATACACGCAATGGGCTTCCTTTAGCTTTTCATTATCAACTGCATATATTTGAATATCATTAAGATAAGAAAATGTTTGAGGACATATCTCTTTGAATTGTGCTTTAATATTTTGATTAATTTTCTTTTCGTATCCTTCACAATCATTAGTATAAGAACTTTTTCTTATTTCAGCTTTTTTTATACTTTCATCACATTTAGAAAATAAATTTGCATACTCATACTAAAAATATTAAAATAATGAAAATATGTTAAAAATCATATATGTAAGGAATACATTATACTAATTATAAAAAGTAAATATATAATTATCATGATACACTAATCTATTTTATTGAAGAAAAAGCTCACAATGTTTATTTTCATATTAGAAAATAATATATTTCTTTAGGAATGGTCTGAAAGAAGGGATAAAATTACATGAATATTCAAATAAATTTTTATTAATATAAGCTATATAGTATGAAGAAATACACTGTTTCTTTTTTCAAAAATATAGTATATATATGAATATTGTATATACCAAATAAATCATTAATTATTATATATTATAATATAATTGAATTATTTGTAATATTTATATAATTACTTATATGATTTTAAAAAGGAAAGATAAAAAACAAATATAAAAGAAAATGAACATATATAAAAAGGATTGTGATAATGCAACATAAATATTACAAAAATGTATAAGAATTATATAATTTTTTCTTATTCAGTAAGCTTAATAAGTTAATACAATTCTTTTAATTTAGTTATATATATAATAATTTTATATATACTTCACTTTAATTTTCATAGTAATATTTATTATTTAATAAGAAATATATAAAATATAAGAATATATATGTAATATGGACAATGAAAAAGATAAAGATATTTTTACATGTAAAAAATGATATAAATTTATGAATATAAAATATGATCATTTACAATATATATGTCTATATATTGAATGCAACATATAAGACTTATTTGTGTATAAAGTGAAATATTTATTAATATTACAAATATAAAGATGTATATATTTTTTATATATCTGTAATATATAGGTGTCACAATAATTATGTGATAAAACATGGATTATAAAAAATTAAGACATAATCAATATAATAGAGATTTAAGATATTTTCATAAAATAATAATGTCAATGATATAAGTTGATCATATTAGAACATTATAACTACAAGTTTCTTTAATTTATATATCCGTAATTATAACATTATACAGATATAATAATACTGTATGCAAAAATGTTTTGACAACATAATTTAATGAATTCATAGAATTCCTTTATTTTGAATCGTTTTAAATTATATTAACATTTAAATGATTTTATATATTTTTTATTTATAGTGTAAATATATATTGTAATTATAAATTTAATTATACACTATAACTGAGGAAATATGTGCATAGCAAGTGCAAATTATAATAATAATTACAATATATATTTACACTATAAGTAAAAAATATAATATCATGAAATATATATCTTATATTAGTGCTTATAATATAAATAATAATATTTTATTATAGAACTATTAATTTTTATATCCTCTAATTATTAATTTATAACTATAAGACATGAACTCTGTATATAATGAATACATATAATATTATTTTATGATAATAATTTATTATTATACATGCTTAGTAGTAATAAAAATGGAATTCATTAAAAAACTGTTTATTAATAATTAATTATTTAAAAAATTTACAACAATTTCGGAGTGCATTAATAAAGAATTATATCTAAAGGATATTAATTTTGTATTATACGAATATTAATATTTTTTGATAAGTTGTCCAATTTAGAGGAATGAATAATATAAGTTTTATATAGAAAAAAATTGTATATTGAATAAAAATCCATTTACTGTTTGCTAAGGATTTTGTAAGTCTCATATATAATACGTTAGTTTGTGACTTTAAAATAATTATTATAAGATTGTGAACTTATAAAAATAGTAAGCCTCATAATGTTTAAAATTAATTTTTTATAATACAAATTGAGTTCTTTATTACAAGAACATATATCTATAAATTATAATTTCTGTGCTTTATAATTAATAACTTAAGCAAAATCATAAATAATTAACACATATTATGTAAAATATTATGTTATTTTCAAAATGAATGCTGAAAATTTTGAAAAAAAAAAATTATATATAAACTCTAAATATAGTGAGATGTTTGTAGATAAATATGACGCAGTAAGATACCTATGAGTGGCATATTGAAATATAGATCTATTTATATATATTCTCCTTGTATAAAACTCAAATGTGTTCATCGAAATCTGACAATGAAGGAAACTTCTTTAATATACAGTATAAGAGGCATACGAAAATTACAAATATAAAAAGATAGAATACATTGCGCATATATATATAATTAATGCGATTTTTCAAAGAGAATATATTAACTATTTGATCTAAAAACATTTTTGTATGTAAAGGATTACATGCATAGGTGTAAAATAATTGATACATAAGGGATTTATTTAAGAAATCTGTGATATTTTTATGCAATAAATTAATATAAATAATGATATATCCAAATATAAAGATTAGAAATTAAATTCTGGCAAAAATTGATTAAATATATTTGGGTCGTATAAAATGCATACAAATAAAATAATGAATGCTCATACGTTTCATTTATGTAACAATCACAAATGAAAAAAGACTTTTTATAGGAAAACATGTTTGTACATATATCTACATATCTATTTCGTTTTAATAACAAGGTAATGAACATACCTAATGTTATTTTTATTAGTCTTTGTGCCTCCTTTATTTCTTGGATACGGAAAAATATATTTCATATAAATAATGTCATCAAAAAAAAGTACAGTAATAATTAGGTCTCAAATATAATTTTGAGTTATTATACATATATTTCATTGTTATAATCTGTTAATTTATTTAATATTATAATTTTGAATGTAATGACAATGAATAAGTGGTATCTGATTGTATATTAGTTTGTTGGTTATTGTAAATAGGATACATATTTAAAATTATTTATATAATGTTTAAAAAATATATCATCATTGTTCCCTATAAATTAAGATTATTGTTTTTATTGTGTATATAAAATTTTATTATTAATCTAATATACAATAGACTTAGAGTATACATACAAACATAATATATTTATAAATATACATGTTATTTTGTCGGTTTATTAAAACCACTATATAATTTTTTTTATATATCATTTATTAAGTTACTGTATATTACACATTTCAGTATAATTGTATTTAATTATATATTTGTTAACTGGAGGTAGAAATATAGCGTGATTGTAAATATTCGAAATACTTATAATAGTCGCCATATTTTATTGTTAGATAATCCTTTTAAATCGGTTTCTATTTATTTATTTTAATAAAATTAGTTTTTATTTCAACCTAGTTATATTACACTTCCAATGAATTTGTTTTTAATAACATTATTACTGTACCCTATGTTTCTAAATTATGAGTAATGGGGATTCTAAATATAATATCTATCTCAAATGAATATATTTGCTTTACCTTTAATTGGTTCCGAGTAATAATAAAATTGTTCTTTAGATATATATTATTAAATTCTGTATAATTCAACATAGTATATTTTGAAAAAATCATTATATTTTTACTCTTACATATTCATTACCTATTTAGGACGGTATTTATATTTATTTTTATTACCTTTATGAGGCATACATAATTCATACTATTTGTCCCCCTAATACTAAAATGAATTCTTCAACTTTATAGGTTTTATTTTAAAAGGAAATTCTAAGAAATGGCTATTTCATATACAAATATTTGTTCTTAGATGTTACGCTCTCTTTGCACATTATATATATTTCTTTTTTTTTTAAAATACTTTTTTTTTATATAAATATTCATCTTATATGATATAAATTTTAGCATATATTTTTTACACCTAATTCATGTAATAATATCTTCTGTAATACTGAGATTTGAAAATATCAGAATTTTTCATTATTAAAATGGAGATCATAATATTAATAGTGCTTCTTCTAATATATTTTATAGATTTATTCTTATTTAATGTAAAATAATAAGTAATTTTTTTAGAAGTAAAGGAAATATTTATATGTTCTATTTAATTTTTAATTAAATATATATTTAAGTCATTTTTAAAAGTAATAACACATATCTATGAAAATACAGTATTGAATTAATAACAAGAAATGCATTTTTTTTTAAAATATGTGCTTGAAAAAGGTTATGTTTTTATTATAATTATTTACATTCTTCTAATATATATTTTTATATTTGTATTAACTACTAATTATGTAATACACATTAAATGTATTCCGCAATACTGTAAATTGTATATACAAAAATATTGTGACATTTCGAAAATATTATATTTTTATTTGTATTATAGATTATTTATTCAGATTATATTTTATAGCTGTTATATGTGTCATAAAAGCATTTATTTATGCTTATATATTTGTATAATTTTTTGTGCCCAGTGTATTAATATTTGTGTATTTAAATATTAATACAGGTAATAGTATAAAAATTATTTTCCTAGTTATGTATATATAATTTTGATAGCTTCTATCTAGTATAAATGATACATATTTTTGTAGTAAAACATGCTTTAACATTTATGTTCACGAAGAAATTAATTATCTGTTACATTTTTTATTATTGTTGATTATTTATGAGTAATATGTAGATAAATATTAAGCTATATATTTTATTACTTGTGATATAATCGTATTGATGAATTTATAGTAACTCTTCATGCTATGGTTAATAAATATAAAAATGAATATATTTAAAAATAATTTTTACAATAAAAATATATAACAATATATATATTTAATATAATTAGAAAATTTAAAACACTTTTTTTAAATGAATTCATTCGTAAAATGTAATAATAGCTATAAAATAGACATACATAAACAATATCGTTTTACTAATTCATTGAAAAAAAAATGAATTAAAAACCAGTTCTATATATTACAATATTTGGGGTCATATAGGAGCTATAATTATTTTAAGTCTCAAAAATATTGTAAAACTTATGTTCTTTTACATAAATTATAGAATTCATTATATGAGGTATAATGATCCAGAAAAAATTTTTACATTAATGTTTATTGGTAAGGACATAATTTAGTGTCACTGCATATATGATAATTTATAGAATATATATAATAAATATCATATATAATTATATATAGAAGAAAATAAAAATTAATACAACCATTTATGAATATCTAAATAGGAATACATTGGAAACTGCAATGATATAACATTATCAATTTTATTAATTAATTATTAATACTTAATATTTTTTTTAATTTTTGGAGTATTTAACTAT